AATATAAACGACTTGTAGAAGGTCTTAGACGTTCAGAATTAACTAATAATATTGAGGAAGGAGAACCATATTTTTATAATGAAAAAAAGAAAACACCAGAAGGAGATATTGATTATGACAAAGTCATTCCAGGAACTTTTAGAAATTCTAGTCAATTTGTTCTTTTAATGAAAAGAATAGTAAACTTTTTTAGAGAGAAATTGCATGAAGCTCCTACAAAAAAACAACAACGAATTAAAGAACAACACTCAATTCAAGTAAAAGATATTGTTACTGGATTATGTGATTCTTCAGTCTTAACACCAGAAATCATTAAATTTATTCCTAACAGACTTCATTTACTTATTCAGACACTTGGAGATGAATATGGAGGAAGGCAGGATGTAAAAGGAGATTCATTTTATTATGATGCTTTATACCTTGTAGCAGATTTTGCAGCATTACTATGTTCTAGTCAAGAAGGATTTTCTTATGTTCCTGATGTAGTGAAAATAGACAAAGATGATTATTATCATTCAGTATTAAATTTAGTTTGTGTTGATGCAGCAAATGCTATCCAACCAATATTAAATAGATTTCATTCAATAGTTTTTACATCAGGAACATTAAGTCCATTAAAAACATATATCAATATTCTTGGGCTAAAGAATGTTGTTGAAGAAAAACAAATTAGATCGCCAACAAGTGATATAGTGAGAAGAATTTGTCCATTATTTGTAACAAAAGGATTTGATCGTATTGCTATCACTTCTCAATTAGCAGACTCTAAGTATGCTGGAGCACGAAGTGATCCATTAATTCTTTCATCTCAATTTTTCTATAGAGCTGATCGTTTAATTCTCCATTCTTATGGTAAATTGATTGTAGAATTATCTAAAACAGTACCAGATGGTGTTTTATGTTTCTTTCCAAGTTATGCTTATATGAATATTTGTATTTCTTATTGGAATGAGATGAAAATATTTGAATCAATTGCTCAAAATAAACTAATATTTATTGAATCAAAAAATGCTTATGAAACTTCTCTTGCTTTCCAAAATTATAAGTTAGCTTGTCATACTGGTAAAGGTGCGGTATTACTTTGTGTTACACGTGGTAGATTATCTGAAGGAATAGATTTTACAAATCATCTTGCTAGAGCTGTTTTAATTATAGGAGCTCCATATCTCCAGTCAAGTCCTATCCCAATAAAAGAAAGAGTTGAATATCTTAATAATAAAAAAATTATTTCAAAAGATGATTATTTTACATTTGACGCTATGAGAACTTGTAATCAGTGTCTAGGAAAATGTCTAAGGGGAAAAAATGATTATACAGTTGTGATATATGCAGACAAAAGATATAAACTGAATGATCGTAATGTCAAGGCATCTATGCCACAATGGATTCTTGACGCTATCCAAAAAAGATATACTGACCTTTCTGCTGATCAAAGTATTGTATTAGCAAAAGAATTCTTAATGAAAATGAGTTATTCATTTGATACTCAATTCCCAATTGAAGAGATGATTGGTAAAACATTATGGACATTAGATAATATTCGTAAAGAACAATTAACAACACAAAATTAATTATTTTATTATTATTACTATTTTTTATTATTCTTTTCATTGAAAGTATTACAATTCTTCATTTTTTTTTAGAATAAATAAATTAATTAAACAGAAGTGTGTCATTCATTGTTAAATCAGTTTTCTTTCTATTTTTAGAAATGATAATGGAATCTATTCCATAAAAATGAATCTAATTAACAGATCTTTGTTGGATCAAATATACACATATTGAAATAATGAAAAGTATGATAGAAAAGATAAAGTCTGATGGTAATATTGAAGAAAGCCAACATCATCGAGTGACTAATAATCAGTCATTTGAACATAGAAGTGAAATTATTTTTAAACCTAAAATAGGAACAGAACAACTCTTGAGAAATGCAATGAATAATAATATTACCTTTTTCTCACAAGATTCTGGTTCTATTGGTGTTACAGCTGAGGAATTGATGAAAGAGAATTCAACAAATTTTGAAATAACAAATACAACAGACCCAGAAACACATACAGACACACAAAAGACTATTTCTTATACTGGAATTGGAACTCTTAAAACTGAAACACCATCATCTCAAAAAACAATGATATTCAAACCTATAGAAGATATTGAAAATGAAGATGCTTTGTCTGGTGAAAAAACTCTTTCTATGGGAAGTTCTCTGGACCGAGATGATGACATTGAACAATTTAATAATAAAAAAGTTATGGAAGAAGAAAATAATGACATTCTTTCAGATGACCATACTATTGAAACACTTACAGCAGACTCCGATAATTCTTTAATAGAAAGTGATGAAGAGAAAAATAAACAACAAGGAAAACCAATTTTTTCAAAACAACCACTAACAAGAATTGAATCAAAGTATTTTGATGAATCTTTATTAGGAAATGTTCCAACTATTGAAAAAATTGGTGGAACTGAAGGGGAAGATGGTTACTTTAAGAAAACCACAAAAGAAGAAATGAAATACGAGAGCTCATTGAAGAATCAAAACAATAACTATTTTCACACAGTTTCAAGTAAATATGAAGATGATAATCTCTCATCAAAAGAAACAATTGTATATTCATGTCATTCATTAAATAAAAAATACGACTCAGTATGTGAAAGCACAACAGCAAAAGAAATTGAAGAATTAAATGAATTACTTGAAGAAAGAAAAATGAACAAAAAATCATTTTATTTTGACCGAAGTGATGAAGAAGATGAAAAGTTGAAAACAATTGCAGAAATATATAACGAAGAAGAAATGCTAAATCAACCAGAGCTAAATGATAGTAATGACTCATCAAGAGATACAATTATGACCCTTGGATTAAATGAACATAGGTTTCAACAAATTGTAGATTCTCTTGATCTATTTGATGAATATAATGAATTAAATGAATTTGAGAGAGAAGCATATGCTAAACTATTTGGTAAAGTTGGACTCTTAAAAGATCATATCCCAGTTGGAAGAATTCAACAACCTACTCCAAGAGAATTTCATTCATGTTGTGAAAAAGGAGAAAAAGAAGAAACTATTAAAGAGTTTTGTTCAAGTTGTAGTTCAATAGAAGAACTTGAACTATTCTTGAAATCAACTTGTAGAGTTCTTGGACTGAACTGGGATGAAATGAAACAATTTTTTAACACTGAGTCATTAGGAAAAATGAAAGAGTCAATCATTAACTTATTTAAAGAGATTGAATTGAATGAGTAATTGAAATGATTTTTAACTTTTTTTTAATAATTGATTTAATTATGATTGACTTTTTGTTTAATTCTCAATAATAAAAAATGGATGAGATGATTATATCTTAATGAAAAGAAAAACATTTAAAACAGTCTTATTGAACATAAGAATTTTGAATTAACTAAACTCATAAGAGAAGGGGATGAACGAAAAAGAAGATGAAGATATAGACTATGAACTAATCAGGAGAAGATATTTTAACTCTCAACCTCCAATAAGAATAAGAACTATTAAACCTGCAAAATCAGAGCCTATTCCAAAAGACCATTATGAAGTATTTCACCAATCAAGTAAACCAATTCCAATAAAATGTCACTCTCCACAATCGCCTTCTATATTTATGCCACCTCATGAATATAAAAAATTACACCCAGAAGATAGTTATTCTAATTCTCCTCCTTCAGAAGAAAGGGTGTAATAGAAACTATTTTAGTCTCAATCAGTAGATTATATTTCAATAAAATAAAAGAGTCTATTGTTATTATCAATGAACTGAACTCAATAAAAAAATAAAGTATATGAGTTGACTTAAATTCTTTTTACATTAACATACATTAATTTTTTTTTTCAAAAAAGTAACAAAAAGCAAGGACATATATCATAAAAGGGTATAAATTAGCTTCTTTAAGAAATATAGGTTATGGACTATCAATTTAGAAATAAGTTCAAACATTGATATCAAATAAATTTAGATTCTTTCACTTTAAAAATTTTATGTTAATTTTATACTTAACTTTGTTAATGTTGAATCTCTTAATTCTTATAATATACTCAACTTTTATTTAATTGTACGGTACTTGCTCATTAAAAATAGTACCAAATTTAGTTAAATTATATATTATTGCATGAAATATTTAAATAAAAGACAACTTTATAACGCTTAAACAATAATAAATAAATATATGAATATTTATTTATACATTATATGAAGAATTATTATATATAATTAATGTTTCTTATTTAAGATTTTCAATATAATGTATACCTTAGTATATACATTTTATCTTTCTTACTTGTCTAACATGGGTTAAATTTGGGTTACAAAATAATAAAAGAACAAAATAATTAATCATAAACTCTCATTTTAAAAAGGGTTGTTACCTATTACCAATTACTTCTTTATGACCTGATTAGTATCATCAATGCATTGATTGACTAGCCTTTTTTCTCACAAGAGTCTTGAAATATATAAATAAAAATATCATAAAAATGAAAAATGAAAAGCTTTTATGGAATTATAGATATTACCAAAGAATAATGAAATCACTGGCATTATTATTTGTTTCAAATTTTAAGTTTAGTTCCATTTAAAACATCAAAGTTTTTAACAAAGCCATGAAACAATACAAGATTATATCTTTTTCTATAATCTTTACTATTCAAAAAAAGAAAAAAATTAAACAAAAAAAAACCACAAACAATGGCAGCCGAACAACAAACAACACCCGCAGTAATGTGGCCATTTTATATTGAGGATGAAACAGATTTTAGTACCCTTGGGATTATTTCTTTTTTGTTATCAATTGTATCATTCATTTATAAAGTTTGACTTCTTTGATTTTTATTTAATACTATCACCAGGACTAATGTATTAGAGTCGTGTCACTGTCATGGCTGCTCTTATTTTCTTTGTCCTTTCAATTCCTCACAAACAAAAAGTTGACCTTCAGATTTCTGCTCTTATTATGTCTGGTTTTCCCCTTCTTATTGCTCTTGCATTTGCATATATGTTCACTCCTGATAGTTATGCCTAATTGATTAATTTCTTAAAACAAGAATAATTTGGGGGTTTTTATTCATACGATATTTAATAAAATGATAAATAACACAAGAGATTAATAAGAAAAGAATAATGAAGAAATAGTTTGCTGTCTGTTTGACAGACAATAAAAGTACTGAAAGTAACTAAAAATGGTTTCTGTGGAATTTGCAATACCATTATAAAACAAGTAATTAATAAAAAAAATGAAGAGGAAAAGAAAAGAGTGGAAAAAACAACAGAAAAATATCAAAAAACTCAGATCGATTTTATAAAGACCAATGAGAAAAAGTTAAGAGAAGTCATCTTCAAAAGAACGAAACTAAATAAACTTAAAAACCCTACGATGAATAAGTTAATGATATATATACTTTGTTTTATCATTAGTGAAACGTATGCATTTGAACTTGATGGACTTCCGGCTTGTGAAAATGGACCATTAGAAGATTCATCTGATTTTGCATTTGTTGATGAGATGAATTGGTTTGAAATATTATTAGGAATTGCTATTATCTTTTTCTCATTTGTATGTTTTGTTCCACAGATATATAAAATCTTAAAAAGAAGAGATGGGAGTGGATTATCTCCTTCTTTTTTACTTATTCTTGCATTTAATCAGGTATTTGCTGTTATTAATGCCACTATAACAAATTCACCGACTATGCATAGTTGTACTGTTATTGGATGGAAATTATGTTTACCACCATTATTGTCATATTTCCAAATTTGTGAATTAATGATTTTATGTTACCCAATGTTTGCTTTATTCCTTGTCTTTTATAAAGACAAAAAAGAAAAAGGATACAAACGTTCACTAATATATTTTATCTCTGCTTGTATATTTTTAGTATTTTCTATTATTTTGATTTTAACTTGTTTAAAATTATGGGGTGAATGTTCAAAAATTACTTATGCTGTTGGATTTTGTTTTGGAGTTGGTTCGACTGTTACAACATTGATAGAATATCTCCCTCAAATTTGGAGGACTTTTAGAACAAAAGAATGTGGTTCAATGTCATTTACTACTAATTGGGTTACTACTGTTGGTACTGGTATTATTACATTTTATATGATCTTTTCTACTGGTCAACATTTCACAACATTAGCTAGTTATATTGCATCATTAATTCAACACATTGTATTATGTGCATTACAAATTAAATATGATTACATCGATAAATGTACTGTTCCTATGGCAAAGAATGAAGTTAAAAAGAAAGTTAATATATTTAGAAAATTATTCCATTTACCATTATATCCTGTAGAAGAGGAAATGGTGTTTAACCATCTTCCTCAAGACAATAGTGATGAAGAAGGTTGTGAGCTTGTCCAAACAAATAAAACAGAATCCCCTTCAAATAAATCTCCATCTCCTTCAACTGGGTCATCAAATGATACTTTTTATGATTTAGATAAGGAAATAATAGGAGGTGATAGTGAAATTGTTCTTTAAAAATTGAAAAATTCATTTTTTTGATTGATTTAGTAATTTGATTAGATTTTTTCAATAGGCAATCCTAAAAAAAATTTATTCTTCCTCTTAACTCTTTAACCATTTTTTTTTTATTATTTTTTTTTCTCTCAGGTCAGAGGTATATTTCGTTTAACTGTTTATTCTCAATTAACTTATTTTTCTAACCAGAAAAATAATCAATAAAAATTCTTAAAAACATTTTTTTAATTGTTTTTAAAAAATTTATAATTGGAATTAGTACTATCAATCATTTTTTAACTCAAAAAAATAATTTTAATAAACAAAGTATATTAAACAAATAATGAAACAATAATAGACTCTATTTTGAAATGAATGTTATAACAAAATCTTCTGTCACACAAATTCTATTGAAATATTACCTCAAAACGTTTATGAATTTTTATAGAAATATTTATATAAATAGAAAATGGAAAAAATTGATTTAATGATTTATTATTGGAACAATAATTCCTTAATATTAATAATGTTATAATACACATATTCATCCTATTCATGACATTGTTCTATAATGAATTCATGAGTAGAATATAAACAAATTTCATTCTATTAATTCATTTAAATTTAATTAAACAACTGACCATTTAAATCTTAAAAAAATTATTTCTTGAATCAGCGAATTTATTATGGTTATATGAGTTTATTCACAATAACACAATAAAAATATAATAAAATTAATTGTATACCAGCCAAAATAATGTTGTTTATTTAATATTAATAAAACATTGTTAAATACAGTTTAAAATCATAAAAAATTATAATATAAACAAACTATCTACTAAATTTAATGTATTTCTTTATAATATATATACAATATATTTCTCTTATACAAACATATATTTTGTTATTTTATATCTTTATTTTTCTCAATAATAAACAAAACAATAATCATAAATTTTTATATTTTCTTATTAATTCTTGACATGACTATAATTATTTGAATTTAATTATATAATAATATAATAAGTATTAAGATTAATAATAAATACTGACTGACATAAGATGATTTAATACAAATAAGTAATTAATCAATATTATCAAATTCATTTATCACATACTATTTTCTTGGTATATTCATACCATCTTTTAAATATGTAAATATTTCTATACTTATAATAATTTAAATTATTATTTTTTAATGTATATTCTTTTCAATAAAATAATAACGCTCATTATTTAATATATGTAAAGGAACCATTATTATTTTTTAGTAACTTAAATAATTTTTTCATATTATTTATTTTAATACAAAGAACATTTAAAATCAATTTTAATTGTATATTTAGTATCTTAATCTTTTCTTGAATTGAAACGTCTTAATTATTCACACGTTTATAATATAACTTAATTTAAGAAGATATCATTTCACCTACTTCAATTCTAATTAAAGGATATTTAATTGTACTTGTTATATTATTTACTTTTTCTATTGTTTAATAATTAAGAAATTATAGGTTAATTTACCACAAAAGATGGAGATAATTTAACTTTTTCTCTTAAAACAATTTATATTCTTAACATATTTAATATAATCAATAACTTTACATAAATAGTATACTAAATACTCCACTGTTTAAATCTCTTTTAAAGTTATAAGAAATTACCAAACAAACACTTTTATAAATAAAAAGAATACTTCAAATTATACTCCATATTGTTAATAATAATGTATATCTTTTAAATAATGACAGAGCAAAACACACCTCTGTGTAATATATATATATATTAAGAAAAGATGCGTTGAGTAGAAATACAAAATGTAGTATTTTAATTTTAACAAGAATCATATTAAGTTGAAACTTTCATAAAAAAATTTATTTTAGAAACAATTGTTTAAGATAAGTCTTATTTTTTTATTCATTTCATTGAAGAATAATTTTTTTTCTATAGGAGAGGCTCTCTAATTAATGAAAGAAAAGATAACAATAGAAGAAATAATATTAAATTAAATTCCTTAATTAAGTATCTTCTTCTTCTAAATGTTAAACATATTTTTGTTTATAATTATTAATGTGATGAAAAGTTATAACCAATTCATCTTTTCTACATTACAAGAGCCTATAATTCACTTACTTTTAAATAAAAAAATCAATACCATAAAGTAAAATTTAATATTTTGATTTAAATAACAAATATTAATTTATTAATTTATTCTAATCAAGTGCCATTCCAGAAATAAACTAAATTAATTTTAACTGAAATTGAATATAATAAAAACAATTAAAAAATATATTTATATCCACACCTAAGCGAAGGAGAGAAATAAAAATAGATTATTCAAAAAAAGAAAAAAAATATAGAAATCTTAAAAATCAAGTTATCATTAACTTATATGGCAGAAGATTTACAAGCCAAAATTATACAAACAAGAAAAGAGATCGATCAAATTAAAGAAGAGACCCGTGCAAATAGGGAGGCCAAAGAAGACACAACAAGTTTGTTATATAATAGTTTAATTTTTTATTGGTTTAATGAAAAGATATTAACATAGAAGTGAAAAAATTTACATCTGAAATCCCAGGCATTTCAAGGAGTGACCACGTTAAATTTAAACGTGGGTTAAGAGGTCATATTTCTAAAATTTATGCTATGCATTGGGCAAGTGATTCTACTCATCTTGTTTCTGCTTCCCAAGATGGATTGATGCTTACATGGGATGGTCAAACAACAAATAAAATTCATTGTATTCGTATTAGAAGTTCATGGGTTATGACATGTGCCTATGCCCCTTCTATGAAATTTGTTGCTTGTGGTGGTCTTGATAATATTGTATCCATTTATTCGATTGCACCTAAATCATCTTCAAGTGAACCATTAAATAACACTACAGCAGAATTAGCAGGGCATGTTGGATACATTTCTTGTATGAGGTATGTTGATGAAAATCGTATTTTAACTTCATCAGGAGATTCTACTTGTTGCTTATGGGATGTTGAACAGTCTGCTAAAATTATGGACTTTAAAGACCATCAAGCTGATGTTATGTGTGTTTCTGTATCACCAGATCAGAACACTTTTGTTTCAGGTGCATGTGATAGTATGGCTAAATTATGGGATATTCGTATGGAAAATTGTGTTGCTACATTTACTGGACATGATGCAGATATCAATGCTATTGCATTCCATCCATCTGGTAATGCTTTTATCACAGGAAGTGATGATTTCTCTTGTAAATTATTTGATATTCGAGCTGATAGAGAGTTAATGAATTATTCATCAGAGTCAATGCAACATGGTGTGACTAGTGTAGCTATTAGTAGTACAGGAAGATATTTATTCTGTGGTTATGATGATTTAGGATGTTTATGGTGGGATGTTCTTAAAGGAGATTATATTACCAAATTAACTGGTCACGAAAATAGAGTTAGTTGCCTTGGTGTTTCACCAGATGGTTATGCATTGTGTACTGGTTCATGGGATTCGACATTGAGAATTTGGGCAAATTAAAATTGCTTTACCAATTAATTTTTTTTATTTTAAAAATTTTTTTATTTTTTTTTCAGTGTTTTAATTTTATTATTCAGTTAAATTATAATTTTATTATTTTATTGAGTATATTTTCAATGAAAAAATGAAGATTTTTGGTTTCATTAAAAAAGTTGAACAGATTGAACTATGAAATTGTTAAATGATATTTTGGTTACTAATACTCTCAACATTAGGTATAAAATGTTCAAAAGGATTATATGAATATAGTGGTAAGTGTTTACCAAGTTTGGTTATTATATTACTTTGATACTTTTATAACTCAATAATAATCTTAGTGTGTGGTGATGAAATACTTGCAGGATGGGAAGAGTGTGATGGAGGAAGTGGGTGTGAACTGAATTGTTCATGTGCTTTTGGATGGAAAAAAGATGATAGAGGAGGATGTATTCCATCTTCAAATGGTTTAAGTGTTGGATTTAGTTTTGTTATTGAGCTTGAAAAGGATGTTATTTTAAAAGAGAATTTATTCCGATATGAACTTGAAAATGAAATATGTAATGCATATAATTATGAACTTAAAAACAGAAACGCAGATGTTTCTATGTCTAGAGATGGGGTTGTTGTAAAGGCTTTTACTAAAGACCAAATTAACAACAAAACAATTGAAGTTAAATTTAAGTTAACTGGTAGCTCAACTGAAATTCCTGTTTATGTAAATTACTTTAATTATATGATTTCAAATTATTCTTCATTCTGGTATAGTCAAAATTCAACATATTTAAAAGTTATTAATCCCATTGAACCAGTTCATATTTTTTATCAAGTTGATCCAACAGAATTTAATGGAATTACCTCAGTAATGATATTATTCATTGTTCTCTCTATTCTTATTTTAATTTAAAAAAGTAATACATGTGACACAATCTTTAATTGTTCTTTTTTTTATTTTAAAAGAAGACTTATTAGAATAAGTTAAATAAATCACTGTGAATAATTGTAATAGTGTGTTGGTGGCTTTATTGGTTTTGTTGTTTCAGTCTCATTTAATGAATATGGTTGGTTGTTATTTTGGGATTCTAGTTTATAAGAAGAATATGGATTAGTTAATTGTGATTGCTGAAAAGGAAGATTTTGAGGTGGAAGGCTTTGTGATGGAAGATTTTGAGGTGGAAGACTTTGTGGAGGAAGGCTTTGTGATGGAAGAGTTTGTGGAGGAACATTTTGTGGAGGAAGGTTTTGTGGAGGAAGGTTTTGTGGAGGAAGAGTTTGAGGTGGAAGAGTTTGAGGTATAAGAATTGGTGGAAATGGGGTTATTGGTTGTGCAGGAAGAATTGGTTGGTTGGCAGACATATGACCCATTGGGTGTGGTTGTGAATAACCATATTTTATATTTGACGGAGAAACTTGTGGTGGCTCAGAAACAAAAGCTAATTTGAGTGATATTCCATTTTCGTCTTTATTATTTAGAATAGAAACACAAATAACTGCATCATGTGTTGTTTTAAATGCAAACACACCACTTCTTTTACATGAGCATTCTTTCATTTTATTGAAAAATAGACAGAATTAAAAACAAACGTTGGAGAATCAAAAAAAACATCAACAGGGCGTGGAACAAAATAATGGTCAAAGTAATGACATAATGCCATTGGAGTGTTTGGGCTGCATGCAATAATGGGATGAAGTTGAATAAACTTAACAAATACACTAGGGGCAGTAGAATGAAGTAAAAGTTTTGATGGTTGGAAATATTTACACCAAATCCCAGGAGGTGCTGCGACACTATCGTGTTTACTATGTTTAACAATAAGTCGTGAACCAAAAAATTTTACATTAGATAGGCTTTGATATGCATTAATGGTGTCTTCAATAGAGGAGTATTCAATCATTGCAGTACGTTTTTCGCTAAGAACAT